ATTTGACTCTAATGCTGGCACATGGTCTCCTATGCAGGCGTCGTCGTCCAGAACCTGTGCAAAACGCACTTTCCATTGCACCTGCTCCAGATCGTCGGCCATCGTGTCAGCTCTCTGCGCGCTGTCCACAAACTCGCCGTTCAATGTTTTAAGTCTCCCTTGCCGTCGTGGAATTGGCCGGCAATGCCTTCTCTGGGCACCCCCCAACTACCGCTTGGCATTTGCTCATCAACCCGAATCGTTTTGTCCAACTTGCATGCTGCACGAACCTGTTTCAACGACGCTTTCTCCTCCAATTTGTTGTTATTTGATCGTGCAATGCTGCGGCGATTCACGAGGTCAACTGCGCGGGGTGCGATCCACGGCGCCATGGGCGTTTGTTCGCGCCGCGGCAACGCGTCGGCGGCAAAGTGCGACGCTGCTTTGCCTAGGCCCCGCATGTCCTGCAGACTCGTCTGTGAACCTGCACATGGAGATACTGATGCCAAAGATTTGTTTGCGTAATTCGGTATTCCGCGCAGCGGCGTCGCGCGTGGCGCCCCTGTCCGGTCTTCTCGCCGCCGGCGCGGTTGGTGCACGCGACGGTAGCGCCAGAGATGCAACTGCCAAGTAATAGCCTGTTGCTATGGGTGCTTCTTGGCAACTTCTCAGGGGGGCAATCGCTGTTCGCGAGGTCGAATCACGAAGTATCGAATCCAACGTGCTATGACTATTCCCCGTGATATCCCTCCCACTGGCAGCGCCCCCGCCTCCACGTGACATATTTCCTCGCCCGCTGGGCACTGCGAGGAAGTATTGGCTATTTGCATCTCCATCGTGGAGGCGGGAAGGCGGCCTGCGGACAAACTCCGCGCGGGAGGTCCCCAGAGGCCTCCGGGGGCCCCCAGAGGCCCCCACGGAGCCTCGGGTGCCTCATCCTCCTGTTCCTTCTCCTCCTCCTCCTCCTCCTCCTCCTCCTCCTCCTCCTCCTCCTCCTCCTCCTCCTCCTCCCCGCCCTCCACTTGCAAACTTCCACCGTGGGGCCCCGGCTGGGCTGTGAGACGTCGCGCGGCGCGCGTCGCCCCCGACCGCCATCATCCCACTGCGTCGCGCTCTCTCCTGGCTGCGCCGCCCCCATTCCAGCGTCGAAGTCCACCAGCGCCAATTTCGGGTCGGGCAAAAAGTGGGGATAGCAAAGGGGGGGTTTGAGAATCAGCTCACGGAGCTGATTTTCCCGGCGCCGGAGGCGGCCATGTATCGAGGAATGGGCCCCTCGGTGGGGCCGAAACCAGCTGCGTGCAGCAAATTTCGTAACCCCCCCTTTCCCAATCCCCCCCTTTCGCCCGGCCCGACAATTTCCCGGCATGGGCATTGCAAGAGCGGCGCGCGGAGTCTAGCACTGCGCAACAGTGGCGCCGTTCGGGAAGCGGCCGCAGATTCCGAGGGGCATGCCCCGTCATGATAGCCATCGCGCTGGACCCAAGTTTCAGTTTAATCCTAGACAATCGGTCCGATATCAGCTCGTGCGCTCTGACTTTGCGACGGCACCAAGGCGCCGCAACGGAACCGACTCCAGCTCGCGCCCTTTCATCCGCGTCTTCGCCAGGCAAGATAATGCGATGGTCGCCCATGTAGTGCACCTCTGCATTTGAACGGCGCGTCTCTTGTCTGCGCAATATGTTGATGCCGTATCTGTCCATGTGCAAAATCAGCTGCTTCGTCTTCGCCTCCACCAGGCCTCGCGCGCCCCGCGCCGCAGCGACGATGGAAGCCGCCGCTGCCTTGGGGAGGGGGGGCTGAGGGGCAGGGCGATGGGGTTACTGTGACCGGAGATTGGGTCACAATGTCGCCCTCCGTATCTACGTCGATGCAAGCGGCTCCAACTTTGAACGTAGTGGCGAATGTGTTGCTCGAGCTCTCTGGGAATGTTTGTGAAAGCGCAGCCAGTGCGAGTCTTCCGGCAGCGGCATCTTTGCCCCGGGCCGATGTGTCCCCTGCAGAGGCAAAGGGGGGCGAGGAAGCTAAGTCGGGTTGAAGGCGCTCTCGACAGCGATCTTCGTCGCCGCGGGGCCCGTCGTGAGGGTTGGAGCGCCTGCGAGGATGCGGCTGTTGATCTTGGCGGTCATGCTCGAGGCCGGTAAATTGACCGCGAGGGTAAGCATCGCAGCGAGAATCCATTATGGCATCTTTGCCCATATCGGGTGCTCGACTTGTCGGGGAAGAGGCGGGGTCGGAGCTTGAGAGGAATTGCTTTTAGTGCGCCGTGGTCGGCTCCAGCAATGGTCAAGGAATATGAACTTGTTAAGGTAGTAAATGCCAATGCTGGCCGCGGGACCTATGCTGAACCTTTCGCCATACCTTTGGCACCACCTTTCCGGAGCATCGCCGCGGGGGTCGCGATGCCGTCGCATGCCGCAATAAGTTGCGCATCGCTGGTGGGCTGCTGATCCTTAGGCGAACCCTGTTCCTTTGCAGGCATATTGAACATCGGCGAGCTACCCAGCCAGCCGAAGGCGAACAAGCAACCACCACCCACGAAAATGGAACCTGCGAAGATGTTCCCGAGGGTCACCGGGATGAAACTCCTCCGCGGGCAGTCAGCACGGACGCGCCTGCGCCGGCCATCACCCCCATGAGGATCATGGGCACGTTTGCTGGGATATACTCAAAGCCCATGGCCACGAAGCAAGAGATGGGGAACAGGATGCCCACCATCTTGCCAACCATGTCCTGTGCCTGGCCCTGCAGGAACACAGCCATGCACGCTAGCCAGTTGCACCCGGTTCCCTCGAGGAAGGTGACCATGTAATTATCCTTGATCTTCCTCTCCGCAACCTTGCGGGCAAGCGAGGCACTCGGGGCAACATTCAGGTTGCAGGCAATGACGAAGCCAACGAAAAGCAGGGCGCCCAGCAGATTGCCCACCCACGCCACCGCGAACGTCCTCAGGATCTGCATCCTGTGCAGCTTGCCCTCAAACGTCGCGGCAGGCACGGTCGCCGCTGTGCCTGTGATCAGCACCCCACCTGTGAGGAGGATGAGCAGCAGGTTCACAGGGAAGAGCGCAACGTATACAAAGGTCTGAGTGGTCGGGTAGTCCTGGGCCGCACTGTCCAGACCGCCAGCCGCCGCCATCGACAGTGTGCCGCCGAAGCCAATGCAGCAACCCGCATAGAAACACGGATGGATGATCTTGATGGACGAATCGCCGCCCATCCAAACGCCCTTGTTCACCATGCCCATGAAAGCCTCTTTCGGGGTCTTAACGATTGTCACGAACTCCAGCATGATCGCGAACCCTGCTGTGGACAGGGGGCGCCTCCGGCAGTGCTAAAATTCGCGGCCGACTTCCAACTCAAACAATACCTCAAACAATACCTCAACACAAGGGCTCCGTCGAAATACCCAAAGCATCGATATCCTGGAATCGCGCAAGCGTGCCCATCAATACCATGAACACAGCAAGTACCGTCATCTCTACCAGGGCAGCAGCACATGTTCTCTTGGAGGCACTCATAGTTGCGCGACCGAGAAGACTGGCCGTGCACGTCGCCAGGATGTTGATGCCGAATATGACTTGTCGATCGGTGCCTCCTCCAACCTCGCCTCGTCATATTGATTGTGGTCCTGCGCCTCATCTATGCGAATGTTGCTCGCTCTTTGCGTCTCGCTGGGGCCCGACGCTCTCGACTGGAGCAGCCCCGCGCCGTCGGCCCCGTTCGCAACGTCGCAATGGTGCGAGCCGTTCTCCATCAGGCGGTGCTCCTCCACGATCGGGCGTCTGCGTCGGCGGCGACGCAGCCGCGGCCGACGAGCAGGAAAGCAAACGCTGCTGCAAGCACCGCGACGTTCATTGCGGTAACGGGGGAGCAACAGGGGCTCGACGGCAATAAGCGCAACAAACTGTTCTAAATGTCTGAAGACTCGCCAACAAGTCTCGAGCCAAGCTTGAGCCAAAAAATGGCAACGGCGCCTTTCTGGTTCCTTCAATTCGTCAATGCGCCTCATGAGAGCGTTCCTCCCTTGTAGCATGCCGAACACTCCTCCGCGTCGGGTCTCGGGTCCATGCTCGACGCCATTCGAATCACTCTCCTGAGCAGTGTGATGACATGAGTGAAGTTTGCACTGGTGAAGCGAAAGGATATACACACCCTTTGTTTGGGCCAGGGGGCCGTCGCTCTTCCAACTACAACTCGGCTGTTGCCAGAAGTTTCCCTGGTCCATGGTGTCCCCGGGATTTCGAAGGCCCCCACGGCCTGCACAACACCCCTCACGAGGCCCAGAGGGCCCCCGGGGCACCAACATGGAGCGAAAAGCTGAGGGCACCTCTAGAGAGGGATATCTCAAGCACCCCCTCGAACAACATGACCATCGCCGAGGCCGGGGCACCGTTTCAAGTTTTTTTTTGCACCAACGGCAATCACTGGAACTGCATGCCACCGCTGTTGCTGCGACGGAGCGCCGACTGGAGCTCACGCGCAACGCCAGAAGGCGCGCTCACACTGGAGGAGGAGGAGGAGGAGGAGGAGGAGGAGGAGGAGGAGGAGGAGGACGAACCAGAAATGAGGCCAGCGCTGAGTCTGGAGCTGCATTCCGAGCCGCTGGTGCGGTAAGCGCTGACGCCTGAACACCGTTCCCTGACATCCGCTGATCTGCTTTCCCAATCCGCGGCCCCAGAGGTCCCAGCAGCTTCCTTGGGGGGTAGTCTTTTTTGCCTCAAGCCCATTTTCCTGGGACCCGACAGATGCCTCCCCCCGACGGCCGAGATGGAGGAGAAGCCACTGGCTGAAAAAATCTGCTCGTCGGAAGATCTGGGTTCCGAACTGGAGAAGGGATTGGCGCTGAGGCTGGAGCGCCGAGCCGAGGCGGGACTCTGGCCAGCGTAGCGATCGGAGCAGCACCCCGACGAGGGTATGCGTGCGCCGGATGCTACTGGCGCTCAATCGAGGCAGAAATAACGTCATGAACAACAATTTTCGGAACTCCGCGCGAAATTCTTGGATCTGCGCTGGAATTCCCTCCCCTTGGCGCGGCGCTGGAGGCGCCGCCTGGGGGCTCCAGCGCTGATCCAAGAAATCCACGCGGAGCTCCGACAATTTATGTCTATGTAGTTTTTCTTTCTTCGGCTCAAGCGGAAACACGATTTCGAACGGGGCCCAGGAAGCAATTCGACACGCATTCCAGGGCTGCACGCCACCGCCATTTCTGAGACCCAGATGCGATCGGAGCCCGCTGGCAGCGGGGCCGGCGTCAAGTCAGTCCCCCGGCAACAACACATAATGGGCAACGTTAATGTGTGTGTGTGTGTGTGCGTGTGCGTGTGCGTGTGCGTGTGTGTGTGTGTGTGTGTGTGTGTGTGTGTGTGTGTGTGTGTGTGTGTGTGTGTGTGTGCGTGCCTCAGGGGGGACATCGAGCCAGAAACGGCGATACATCGCCAGTAGATCGGTGCTAGGCCCCCGAGAAAGAATCCGCAGGCTCCTGGGCGGGGCGGGCTATCGGGCCCCCATCGACACTGGGGGGTCGACGCATCCCTCCCTGAGCCTGCCCCCCCCCCTGAGCCTAGCTTCCCCTCACGGTTCTCCTGAACACAGGGGGGGTGCTTGTATCCTCTTGCTATCGCTCGGACGCGCATTCCCCGTGCATTGCTCGGTCTGATGCCTTTATTTTTCGCGAGGTAATCCAAGATGCTCCTCGATGGCCCTCGCCGAGAAAAAAAACATACGTCCGAGCGGTGCCAAGTCCTTGGGCACCTTCGGGAAGACGAACGGCTCGACGAACGCCCTTTTCCACATAGTAACATCCTGCAAGAACATGGGACCCTCCGTCGGCCAAAACACCACAAACCAGGCGATCACTCGAGGGTCCCCTCCTCCAGGATGCACAATAGGTCGGGCATGTCCCCCCACAGGCGGATGTTGGGCGAAATTCAAAAATAGTAAAAAACAAAGAAGCACCCAAATAAATTTAAAATATTAGAAAAATCGCCCCCCGACTATCTTTCCACTGTTCTTGAATACTCCTCCTGTGGAGGGACGTGCCCGACTTGAGGGCACCCTCCCCGAGCCGACCTCGATCCTACACCTCGGACAGCCGCCGAATTTGGTTTCTGGGTCAGAACTCGGGCTGGTTTCTGGGTCAGACCTCGGGCCGCTGGCGGCCGTTCGGGACCATCCCGGCACCCTCGGCACGCTCGCGGCGGGGCGCAGCCGCTGGAGCGCCTCCCGAGGCTGGGAGGCCGCCAAGAGCCGACGAAGGCGCCCGCAACCATCCTGCCTCGAACCCGCACGCTTCCGCCTCGAGCCTCGGTCCAGGCCGTATCTTTGGTACTCCAGATTTCGTAATAAAAGGGAGGGGGTCTCATTTCGGGGGGGGTCTCTTCCAGGCTATCTTGGAGGGCCTGGGGGGGTCTGGGGACGATGTTTTGGAGGGTTCTCCCACGGGGGGGGGTCTAAAACTTCTCGTCTGGGAGGGTTGAGACCCCCTCCCTTTTATTACGAAATCTGGAGTATCTTTGGTAGCCCGCTCCCCCACAGGCGGCTCAGGCTCTCCGCGCGGCTCCCCGGGGGGAGGCGCGGGCGCGACGGGGAGGGCAGCCCGCAGAGTGGGCGAGCCGACCAAAGTCGAGTCGAGTGCCCCTGGCGCCGTCGTGCGCTTTCTGCTTTGGGCGTATCGGGTCGGGCGAAAGGGGGGGATAGCAAAGGGGGGGTTTGAGAATCAGCTCACGTAGCTGATTTTCCCGGCGCCTCCCGGCGCCGGAGGCGGCTATGTATCGAGGAATGGGCCCCTCGGTGAGGCCGAAACCAGCTGCATGCAGCAAATTTCGTAACCCCCCCTTTCCCAATCCCCCCCTTTCGCCCGACCCGAGCAAGCAAAGAGAGACGACGAGAGCGGCAGGCCTCCCGGCCCTGGGACATGTCCGAGTACGATGTGCGGTACATGTTCTTCTTCTCGTCCCGGTGCGCCTGCACGGCGTAAGCATTGACATGTTGGATGTTCGTTCTGGGGACCTTCCTGGAGCCACTCGCTCCACTCGTGCGTCGAAGCTGCGTCGAACGTCGGTCGATGTGGGTCGACCCTGAGGCCAACCTGAGTCGAACCTGAGTCGAACCTGAGTCTAACTTGAATCGAACCTGAGTCGAACTTGAGTCGAACTGGGGTCGAACAGATCCGTTAGGTGGGCTCCAGGAAGGTCCCCGAAACGAGCATCGAAGACATGTGTTTGCAGATGGGGTGAGCTCCGTCGGGCAGCTATTGCAAAATCGTTCTCCCGACTAGGAGCCATGATCAAGCATCGACCATCCGACATTCGTGGCATACGGCATCAAATCACGCAAACGAAGTTAATGTCAATAATATCACACTATCAATGAAGGTGCGAATTGAACATGTGAAGGGGTGATAATACGAACCGTGCAAAACGTAACGCGAGGGCGGGACCTTAAATGACAACGAGCAGACTGGCGCGTAGAAGTGCCGCTCAGGGACTCTGGGTGTTCTTCAACGGCTGGTTCGAAACAGACCAAGAACCTGATCCGCGGACTCCCGCTTGCCAGGGGTGCAATGGCGTGTGAGATGATTGGCTGTCCTCCCTTTCCCCCTTCCCCCTTCCCCTGGGTCTGAAATTCGATTAGGGTGGGTCGGGTGTGTGTGGGGGGGGGTAGGGTGGGTCGGGTGCGTGTGGGGGGGGGGGGGGGGCGGAAGTGTGCGGGGGGGGGGTCTTGGGGTGGGTGTACGAGCTCCCGAACGCATCCCTGGGACCTTCGGAGCCTTCAAGGCTAGAGCCCGCGGCCTCCAGGATGCCCAAGATGAGTCTAAGCTGGCTGAAGCTGGGCTCCAGCACGCCGAGGAGTCTTCGAAGATGACCAAGGTATCCTCAAGACTTCCCAAGAGGCTTCGAAGACGTCACAAGAGGGCTCCGAGACGACCCCCGAGAGGGCCCCGACGGCATGAACATAAACTGTTGACGCTCCGCGCGGATTTCTTGGATCTCAACTGGGCCCCCGTCTCTGGCCCGCGGAGCGCGCCAGGGGCGGCGCTGGGGGCGCCGCCAGCGGGGCCCAGCGCGGATCCAAGAAACCCGCGCGGAGCGCCAACAGTTTGTGCTTATGTTTTTTTCTTCTTCGAATCCCGCCCTCCCCATATTCCCAGGCCCTCTGAGAAGTTTTCTCTGTCTTCGGGGAAGCTTGGACAACTTCTCACAAGGCTAGGGGACTTCCGAGCCTTCTGAGAAAGTCCGCCCCCTCTCACTTCCCCCCTCGCTCGCCGCCGATCTAACCTCACATCTCGCCCTCCTCAACTCCCTAACCCACAACGTCGACCCCCAGAATTCTGGACCCCTGCCCCGGGGCCAATGTTTAATCATGAATCGTTGTTTGACGGCCCTGGGCTCCGTAAGGGCCCCCGGAAGCAGAACATAGCGTACAACCTACCGGCGTGATTCTTTCACAACGCGAGGGGCTGGGACCTCCTCCGCCGATCTAACCTCGCAATCCCGCCCTCCCCACATCCCATGGCCCTCGCGCGGAGCGCCAACAATTCTATGCGTATGCCGTTGTTTCTCCTTCGATCCTCCTCCTCCTCCTCCTCCTCCTCCTCCTCTCCCTCCTCGTCCTTCTCCTCCTCTAACCTCGCATCCCGCCCTCCCCGTGCTCCACGGCTCTCTGGGCCCTCCTCGCCGCGCTCCGAACGCGAGACGCACCCTCGCACTTGCGCGCGCCACCAGAAAGTTGCCTTCCGGAGGCGCCCGGCAGTCGGCCGCGCTCGTTTGACTTCTCGCAGAAGGGATCTTGGACGAACAATCGTCAGGGGGACGTAAGACCTGGGTACAGGGGACTCGGAAATCCCCGACGAGGTCGTCAAAAAAATGACGAGGCCGAGCCTGCATTTTGACGAGGCCTCCCGCTGCAGACATCCCACGAAACTCCTCCTCGTCAAAATCCGAGGCGCGGTCGTCAAAAAACCATGGCGAACCCGAGTCCTGGCAAACCCGGGTCTTACGCTCCCCCGAAATAGGAACAGTCAAACAATCAGCAACAACAGTCAAGCATGTTCGGAAATAGCCAACATACTCGGAACATAATCAACAACATAGTCGAACGATCGTCACCATACTATCTTTTGAACTATCCTTGAATAGTCCTCCTGTGGAGGGACACGCCCGACTTAACAGTAGGAGCTCGACCGTAAGAAAACTCCCACAAGAAACCCGATACTGAGACCCCAAGACGCCCGTTGATTCTTGGTGTGGGAGCGTCACGCTGTCCACAGCAGAAAGGGCACCCTGGAGGCAGGCGGGGTGTGTCTTGGCATGGGTTTCCGCTGCACTTTCTTTCTTCGAGGACAGGCACTGGGCCAGGGCGAGCTGAGAAAACGTTAGCCTAAGCTCGATCCTTGGACCCATCCCGGAATACAGGCGCGCCAATTATCCGAGCCGGGTCCAGCCGTGGCGACGAGTGGCCAGCCCGAGGGCCAACGACCGTTGCCTCAGCTCGCACTCCTCGGAAGGCAAGCCTGGGGCGCCGCCCTCATGCCACGCCTTTTTTCCGATAGGTGAATATTGTCTTTGATCGCCGAGCGCAAGGCGAGAAGGGAAGACATTTGATCGTTACTGTGATTCTGATTTGGATTGACATCGTAACTGGCACCCTCCAGGAAATACTCTGAAGGACTGGCAGTTGAGGCGAGCAGCCTTTGATGTTGGAGAGCGCGGTCCTCATGCCACTGCCACTGGCTCTCGACGTCGCGCAGTGGAGCGGGCACAGCACAAAAATTGGCGCCACCCGCAGCTGGCTTTGATTTCCAATGGTGCTTCAACTGGAATGTAGAGTCGGCGCCTGCGGAGGGCTTTTGATATTCACTGCGTAGTGGACTTTGCACAACAAACAGCGCCTGCGGCGGGCCTGTGGCTGAATCCTCTAGGGCACTATCTTCGCGCTTCGTGCTCCGCGAATCGCGATTATCTTCGCGCTTTCGCGCCGCCCCCGCCGGAACAGGATGAGGGACTCGCGCCTCGCTCTGAAATCGCCCAGACAGCGAAGCGGGACTAACTTCGCACACTTGTAATGGCTGAACCCTTTAGTGGTTGACAAAGAATTGGCGCCCACGGCGGGGCGCCGTCCTCATGCCACTGCCACCGACGGCGGTTCGGGACGATCTGGGCACCCCTGGAGCGCCCTCGGCGAGGCGCGGTTGCTGGAAGGCACCCCGAGGCTGGAAACCGTTGAGCACACCTTCGAACCCTCCTCTGAAGGTACAGGGGAACAAACAATGACATGAGCATAACAACTCGGAGGTCTGCGCGGATTTCTCGGATAGGCGCTGGACCCCCCTCCCTGGTGCGCGGAGCGCGCCAGGGGCGGCGCCGGGGGCACCGCGAGGTGGCCCCCAGCGCCGAGCCGAGGAATCCACGCGGATCTCTGAGATTCTGTTTCTGTCATTGTTTGTTCCCATGTGCCTCCACAGGAGGGTTCGAATTGCGCGGGCGACTTCGCAGGCTCTCGGCGGCTTTCCAGCCTCGGGGGTGCCTTCCAGCAGCCGCGCCCCGCCGAGGGCGCTCCGAGGGCAAGCCCGAAGGCAAGCCCAGGGCGCCGTCCTCATGCCACTGCCACTGGTTGCCGACGTCGCGCATGGTGCTGTTCTGGGAATCGTAAAACGACTGCATGGGCTGCGCTCGGCCGGCGCGGGCTGCGCGCGGTCCTCTCGCAGCACGGCCCCCCCCTCGAGCCCAGCAGACGCCTGCGGCCTGCCTCCCGCTGCGGCGTGCCCTCCCCGTGCCCCGCCACCCCAGCCGCGGCCTCCTCCCTCTCTCTTTTTTCCTCCTCTCGTCGTCCTCCTCCCCCTCCTATCCTCCTCCTCTCCTCCTCCTCTCCTCCTCCCCTTCCATCCTCCCCCTCCTCATCCTCCTCCTCCTTCTCCTCGTCCTCGTCCTCGTCCTCCTCCTCCTCCTCCTCGTCCTCGTCCTCGTCCTCGCCCTCGTCCTCCTCTCCTCCTCCTCCCTCCTCTCCTCCCTCCTCCTCCTACCCCTCCGCCTCCTCCTCCTCCTCCTCCTCCTCTTCCTCCTCCTCGCCAGGATTCCTCCTCCTCCTCCTCCTCCTTCTCCTCCTCCTCCGTTTTCGTCCTTCGTCCTTCGTCCATACGTCTTTCGTCCTTAGTCCTTCGTCTTTCGTCCTTTCCCCTCCTCCTCCTCCCTCCTCCTCCTCTCCTCCTCCTCCTTTCCTCCTCCTCCTGCTCCTCCCTTCCCTCCCTCCCTCCTTCTCCACCTCTTCCTCCCCCTTCCTTCTCCCCCTCCTCCTCCTCCTCCTCCTCCTCCTGCTCCTACATTCCTTCTCCTTATACGTAACCCCTCCCTATCGCACCACCGGGCGTGTTCGTAGGCCGGGATGGGCGTTTCGCCCTGGATGTCCTCGCCAAGAACGGCCCTGAAACTTGAAATGTGCAACTGATTCAAGGATGGGGCCCTGGTGGTTTTCAATATGTGGTTCTCGTTATAGCGTCGCGCAAATTCGTTACTTAAAACTACGACAGCTTCAACAATGGAGGCTGGGTGGTCTGCAAGATGAAGCGCCGCGAGCATTTCTTTTAAACTCTTGCAACCGCTTCAAGGATGGAGGCTGGTTATTTTTCAAACTGTGACTCTCGTCCTGGCGCCGCGCAGATCCATACGACCCAACTTTCACCATCTGATACAAAACGTGCCATTCGGTATAATTCACCATCCCATGCAACACGTGCAATACACATCGCATCCAGACGAGCGAACCGTCATAATCGTATGCAACAAACTACTATTCTGCACACATCCAGGAACCCAGCCCCCACCACCCGATGCAACACATATTATTCGATGCGCATCCATCCGACCCAAACCCGGCCTTCTGAGAAGGCTCACTGAGCCTTCTGAGAAGGCTCACTCCTTCTCACTTCCCCCCCGGGTTCGCCGCCGAATGTTTACACCGCTGTTTGCTCTTCGACCAGTGCATCTCCAACGCCACACTTGGACACTCCTGCGTTTGACGACCAACATGGACGTCATCAGAACGGTCTTGAGGGACGACAGATCGACCATTGCTGGGCCTGTTTTCCACCACCACCACCACCATAAGTTGGATGGGGGAAGGAGGATGACGAGGGGGAGGAGGAGGAGGAGGAGGAGGAGGAGGAGGAGGAGGAGGAGGACGACGAGGAGGAGGAGGAGGAGGACGAGGAGGAGGAGGACGACGAGGAGGAGGAGGAGGACCCCCTCCTCCTCCAACTGATGGTGGTGGTGGTGGTGATGGACCACAGGCCCATCGACCATTACTCGGAGCATGGACGTCATCAGAACGGCCACCGTCCTCCAGCAGCGAGTCCCCGCCCGCGGGCAGGGCGCCCGGCAGCGGCCGCCGACGGCCCCGAAGCCCGGCGGGGGCCCCGTGCGCCGCCGGCAGATAGCCTTCGTTTTTTCGGGGAGACGTAAGACCCGGGTACGGGGGACTCGGAAATCCCCGACGAGGTCGTCAAAAAAAATGACGAGGCCGAGCCTGCATTTTGACGAGGCCTCCCGCTGCAGACATCCCACGAAACTCCTCCTCGTCAAAATCCGAGTCGCAGTCGTCAAAAAACGATGGCGAACCCGAGTCCCGGCAAACCCGGGTCTTACGCTCCCCCGATTTTTCTGTGCCCACGACGCACGCGCAGCGGAGGAACTTCGGCGACGGGCCCCGACAACACCGACAGTCGGCGGCGAGCCCAGGGGCTGAGGGGCGGGAAAGCGCCCCTGCCTCTCGCCATCGCTCGGACGTCCACTGCCCGTGCATTTCTCGGTGTCGTGCGAGTCTTTTTTCGCAGGGTGGTCAAGATGCTCCTCTGTGGCCCTCGCCGAGAATAAAGATGCACGCGTCCGAGCGATGCCAAGACCCTGGGTTGCAAGGGCGTCGTCTCTTAACCTCCAGGGAGCTCCTAAAAGGGCCAGATTAGCCGCCAGGACGTCGCGCGACACGCGCGCGGTACGCAGGGCTTGCCCTGTCAGCCCACGGGAGCTTCCGGGCACAGCGCTTCGCAAACTAGGGCAGGGGCGTTTTTTACGCCCTTGACGGTCGCAGGGGGCCGACTACAGAATTGACTTACCCCCAACTTCTTGTTTGTGCGATCAGTTTGTAGATTTGGCTCTAAATTCTACGGGCCATTCTAATACTTTTCGTAGGTTCGACGAACCAATGGATCGTGGGGTAAATCCACTGTCAGGGTACTCCAGATTTCGTAATAAAAGGGAGGGGGTCTGGACCCTCCAAGACAAGCCATTTCAGACCTCCCCCGTGGGAGAACCCTCCAAAACATCGTCCCCAGACCCCCCAGGCCCTCCAAGATAGCCTGGAAGAGACCCCCCCCGAAATGAGATCCCCCTCCCTTTAGTACGAAATCTGGAGTAGGGGCATTCTTTTACGCCCGTGGATGGGGGGGAGGTGAGGGGGGCCAGGCCTTCTCCTCGGAGGGCAGCCGGGCTTCTCAGAGGAGCTCCCCGCGCTGCCGAGAAGCCGTCTCTGTGTCGTCGGAGGAGGCTCCGATGTTCTTTTTCGGGGATGGACAGACCCCCGTTTAGTAAAACGTGGTTTAGTGAAAACGACCTGAGGCCCAAACCTGGCGGGCGCAAGCCTGAAAAATAACGGCCACGGCGCCATCTCGAGAACCGAAAACGGACAATTCACTAATCGACGTGTCACTGTTGGGGGTTCTGTCCACCCCCGACTTTTGTTTCCTCTAATCTCCAAAGGGCCCTCCACAACGACACTATCTGAGCGACGATCAAAAACGGGTCTTACGCGAGATGACGTGGCGACCTTACGCAACAGCTTACGCGGGCCGCCGGCGCGGCACGCTGCATTGGAGACGAGAGCGCATACGCGCGACCTTACGCGGGCAGACGACCCCGTTTATTTGCGTCGCTCATCTGCTCTCTGTGCTCCGTCTGGCGCGGGCACCACAACTGGCGGACGCCGAGATTCGAAAGACCCGCACACCGTGGGCCGAAAGGGAAAAAGGCGGGAGGCCTTTCTGAGCCTCCTGAGGGAAGCCCTCCCGCTTTGCCTTTCCCCCTGGGCTCGCCGCCGAGATAGGAGACGGTGCACGTCGGAAAAAACACATCAGAACCGACGGCAACAGAAACGAAGCTGTCTGGTGGAACTCCCTCTGGAGCGGCAAGAACACCAACGCTTTCCTCTCCACAAGCTGCTGTCGAGACGGTCTGGTCGTGACATCCACCAAGCCGAACAACCAACCCCCTCATCGACCAGCTGGGATGGCCTGCTCGCCAACATCCGTGGCGTCCCCGAAGCAGTCCACGTGGACAAAGAGGTCCTCGAACTCGCAATCCGCCGCCTCGTCGCGGCAATCGAGCAGGCAGGCGTTGTGGCCGGGGGAGAAGCACTGCAGAGGATGGCCGTCGCCGAAGAGCTTTTGCACTGGCGTTCTGTACCTGTTGAAAAATATGTGATCGATGTGCTCCGGACTCAGCTGCACCTCCACGCCGAACAGCAGCGCTCTCCAGGGGTGCTCTGAGCGGGCCTGCTCGGGCTTGGGCACCCCGGGGCCCAAAGGGCTGGGGTCCTGACCAGGGTAGCTCTGAACGAATGAGCCTAGGATCTCGATGGCCCTTTGGGTCCCCTGAGGATGTTCAGCCTCGCTAGTCGCTTAGCCACTGGCCAAGATCACAATCATTAGGACCCCTCATTCCCGTATCGGACGGGGCTAGGACGAGGATAAACTGCTCCAGAGCGTTCCGAGACGCTCTCAGAGTGTTCCGGGACGCTCGGAAAGGCCGCGGAGCCCGAGCCATCCTTCAAAGCCGACAGATCTCAGATATTCTCGCTTTACCATCATCTGATGTTATCCTCGTCCTGGCTTCGTCTGACCATACCTGACCTGTCTGCCACCCACATACGCGTCGCCGATGTGGTGCGTGATGTTTGGACGGCGCAAGAGCACGTAGCTGTCCTGCCCGCAACCGTCGTACGCGTATGCCTCGAGTTCTAGCCTCGCAAAATCAGG